AAACTGGTCTTCTGCTTTTACAAACTGTTCTCTGTTGAATCAACTTATTAATATTAAATTATTGAAAATCATTAATAAAATTAATATTATTATTTACTTGGTATAAAGAATTAAAAACAAAAATTGCTATTATAATAAAATGAACTAATTGTGTATGTGCGAATAAATCGTAATCGCCCTCTAATACTGACAATGACCAAACTCGATAATTTTTTTTTTGGTTTTAATAGCATAGCTTTTCTTTGAGTCGAGATAAATAAAAGTTATCAAAAAGTTTAAAAGCAATATAAAATTATGTATGAAATGGCGTAATTAAATTTATCGTAAATTTTTGTTTGGATTTATTACAATTAAACAAATAAGGACTTATAAATTGTACTCCGATGGTGAAACATGTCCTGGTATAGAAATGAACAATGAACAATCTTGGTGGTTGATTTATATATATATATTAGGGTGGTCCTTAAAATGAACATTTTCGAATTTCCTTGCTCCCAGGCGCTCAAATGGTTTCAAATTGATAAAAAACAATTCTCTGAAAGTTTTAGCTCTTAATATTAACGTTTACATAGAGCGCAATTCACTCAAAGTTTTGTATGGAAATAGCATGGAAAAATTTTCAAAAATTTTAAAAATGTTTTTCAGATGCAATTTAGCGAACAAATGAATGAATAAAACTTATTCATTTGTCGCGAAGTAATACCTAAAAGATTTTTTTTAAATTTTCAAAATTTTTTCCATGCTCTTTCCATACTAAGTTTGATTGAATTGTGCTCTATCTAAACGTTAATATTAGGGGCTAAAACTTTCAGAGAATTATTTTTTATCAATTTGGAACCATTTGAGCCCCTGGGAGCAAGGAAATTTGAAAATGACCATTTTAAGGACCACCTTAATATATATATATATATATATATATACTTATAAATTATATATAAATGTGCGTATAAAGTTTCAAATCACTTCATACAATGTATGAAGTCTTATCTACGACGTGAGATAAGAATTTTAAAATCTCAGATTGCATATTTTATATATTTATAATTATATATATATATATATATATATATATTTATATGCTTATATACATATATAATTAATCAAAAAGTCGCACTAAAATATTTCTAGACACTATTTTTTGACACGAAATTAAACAATATAATTTTGTAGAATATAACAAACAAAATTACTGAAAAAAACTAAAATAATTATAAGTTTTTTTCTGGAATCTTGATTGAAAATAAATTAACCAAAAAATTTTTGCTTTAAGCTTTATACTACTTAATACCGTTTTGTCAAAAATTATTAACAAAAATCCAGGATATCAAATCCAATATTTATGCAATTTTTAGTATTTTCGTAAAATATTTGACGAATTTTATTAAATTTTTAATAATTTAAAAAAAAAATTATTTCTACTATTTAAATTGAAATTATTTGATTTTTACTATATTTGAGGAACGATTTGGTATATTTTTTATATATTTATTACTATTTAGTATTTGTTGCTGATTTAGCAAAATTCGAAACAATTGAAATAAAAGATTTCAAAAGACTAGACGCCCAAAGTTAAATATTGAATTTCGATTTCTTAATAAAACGGATTCGATTTCGCTGATTTTGCAAAATTTGCAATAAATTACGTACACGATTAATATTACTTGCAATAACAATATAGGAAATATTAATATATTGATTTGTTATACAAAATAATAATAAAAATAATATATTTTTAAGAACTATAATAATAAAACATCCTTTAAGAATCCTATAAATATTTGACTAAATAAAAATAAATATATAAAAAAATAACTCAATAATTATATAAATAAACTAAAAGTTAGTATAGACATAAAATAAAAATTACAATAGAGACACCAAATTTCATTTGAATAGAAAACCTTTTTTTGATTATTAATATATAAAAAAAAAATAAATTTGAGAATAGAAATCATAAAAAAATTACCTAATATATATATAAAAAAGAACTAAGAACCAAATAAAATAATAAATAACTTAAAAATAAATGCAATAATAAAAAATAAAATTATATTACAGAAATAATAAATATATGAATAAAAAAAATTAACTCAATAATTAAAATTAAAAATTCAAATATATACAAATTTTATTTAATTTCATAACACTTTTGAATTGAATTTGCTTTATTGTATTTCAATATAATAATATTTTCAATAAATTTCAATTTAGATAAAAATAAAAAATAAATTCATAAAATGTTATAAATGTTATAAATTTATAGTTAAAAAAAAACAACAAATTTAAATTTAATATTATTGATTTATATCTAGAACAAAATTTAAAAATCAGCAAATTTTAATAAAAAATTCTCTTTATTTACTAATTTCAAATAATTACAATATTTTGTCATAATTAATATGATATACATTTTATAATCTTATAAACTAATATTTACAATTTGCTTATATACAGCCAACTAAATTGTTTATATATATTTATATATAAACAATTGGCATTTTTATACTAATTATAAAATATTAATTCTATAATAAAAAATATATGGAAGAGATCATTATACGAAATATTATAACTAAAATCCTGAAACTATAAAAATTAAGATAAATTGTTATAAATAATATTAATAATAAAACATCTGTTATAAATGCAAAGTCCAAAAATGTTATATTGAAGAAAATGTAAGCTTTGGTATTTTTATTTATAACTCTAAAAATTTTCAATTTTCAATATTTCAATATTTTATCTCGTAGTAAATACTTTTAAGGATAAAATACTAGAATTTTATGACTGTACTATAAATAGTATAATTGTAAAATATATTATAAAAACTGCCTTTACAATAAATATTATAAAAAGTGAGTTTCGTCAGAAAATATTTTTTACCCAAAAATTTTTAAAACAAAATCATCAATTTTAGTATTTATATCAAAAGTATATATATTTAAACAGGTGGAAACAGTACGTCCTGAAGAGCTTTTCAAAATTTATATAAATTAATCCACATATTATGTTTTTCTCCTCTTGCATTTAACAGATGTTTTTATAAATTCGTATTATTTTTTACATTTTTATTAAATAACAATATTTGTATATTTAATATTTATTTACTATATATTATTATTAGTATTATTACTGATTTTTTTCCCAGAAAAATGCGTCTAAACTTGATATGTTTTTTTAACTATTTTGCTTATAATTACCAAAGAAAAAAAATGAGTAACAAATGTTTAACAAAATTTTAACCATAAATATATTTTTAAACTTAACAAACAAATTTGTTTTTATTATAAATTTTATATAAACAATTTTCTTATCTGAGAATTTATATTAAATAAAATATTGTAATACGAGTTCTAAATTTATTACTATTTTATGAGACCCCAAAATTTATTAATTAAAAATATTTTATAAAATTATTTTAATATTTTACACTAAGTTTTTTGCCTGCGAATTTGCAGAATGTCCTAATTTTATTTTTTATTACAATTTGTTGTAATTTTTGGGCCTAAACACGATTTTTTAATCTGAAATTTATTAAGCAAAATTATCTTTGAGGCTTCAATTAATATTATTTTTGAAACTATTAAGTCTTCATAATATTGTGAAAATTAAAAAATTTCTTTGGTTAAGATAGTGTTCTAAAATTTTGGAAAATTTTAGAATTGAAAAAAAAACTGATTTCAATTATTAGATTACTTTTGCATGATGAAGATTGTGCTGTGTGTAAAAGTTTGTAAAATATTTTTTAATTTCAAAATTATTGAAGGTATTAAAATTAAAAAAAATACATTATTATGTAATAAAAATTTAAATTTGCAGATTTTCAAACTTTCTTGATGTTGTAAGACAAAAAATTGCCTGACCTAAACTAGTTTTATAAAAGCGCGTCGTCATAAAACTTTATAAAAATATATAAATCTATATAAAACTATAAAGTAGACAATGAAGTTTATAAAATTTGCTAAATTTTTGTTAAAGATACAATATATTTATCTTGCATAGATAAAGAGATACAAAATTTCAAACATATCAACTTCACGTCGCACAAACTAGTTTTAGGAGAACGCGTCGTCATAAAACTTCAAAAAACTTCATAAAAATGTATGAAAGTGTATTAAAATAATTAAATATCAGAAAAGTTTATACAATTGTCTGTAAACTTTCAAAAGATACAACATATATATCTTGTATAGATAAAAAAATAAAAATATTCAAACATTTTCTCTTCGCGTCGCACAAACTAGTTTTATGAGAGCGCGCCGTTATAAAACTTCAAAAAACTTTATAAAAATATATAAAACTGTACTAATGTAATCAAAAATTATGAAAGTTTATTTAATTCTCTTTCAAAGATACAATAAGTTTATCTTGCACAGATAAAAAGATACAAAATACCAAATATATCCACTTCGCATCGCACAAACTAGGTGTACGAGAGCGCGTTGTTATAAAACCCCTAAAAACTTTATAAATATGTATAAAACTGTACTGATATAATTGAAAATTATAAAAGCTTATGTAATTCTCTAAATATCTTCCAAAGATACAATAAGTTTATCTCGTATAGATAAAAAGATAAAAATATCCAAACTAATTCAATTTGGATCGCATATACTTTGTTGCCAGGTATGCGCAAATATAAAATTCAAAAAACTTTATAAAAATGTGTAAAACGGTACTTAGGTACCCAAAAATTAAGAAAGATTATATAATTCTCTAAATATCTTCCTAAGATACAATATGTTTATCTTGTATAGATAAAAAGATAAAATTATTCAAGCAAATCCAATTTGAATCGCATATACTCTGTTGCTAGGTACGCGCAATTATATTTTTCAAAAATGTATTTAAAAATGTATAAAACTAGTTAAAACTTTTTAGAAATTAATAAATATTATAAAATTTTCTTAAAATCTCTCGAAGATACCATAAGTGTATCTTCAACCGTTACAAAGATATAAAGCCTCAAAGATAAAATTTGCTTACATCCTTCTTATGCGTCCAAATATACAATTATTACCAAAGTCTTCCCTAACCTCAATTTTTTCCTTTTCCCTTCAAAATCTTGATCCCCCAGGTTGCCAATTGCACGAGGCCCTTTGACGTCACAAATAGAACTCCGGACTATTATGCCCCGCATTCGCTCCGGGCATACCCCCTGCAGTTTCCTCGTTGGATGCTGCCAATCTCAAATTGGACGCCACTGTGTTCTGTTGCTGTTGCCTAAAAAGCTGCAACCTCTGCTTCAATCGATCGCATTCCTCCGAAACCCTTGCTAATTCATTCCTGACCCTTTGCAAATCGTTGTATAAAGTTCTGTTTGTGGTCTCCAAATCGTGTCTTTGTTGAAGGCGTTTGCTGCGGCAATTTTGGGCGTATCCACGATTTTTTAGGGTACGTCGTTTTTGTTTTAGGCGAACGATTTCTTCACGTGGACAACCGTGGAGACGTTTGTTGAGTTCACGGACTGATAAGGACATTAAAAGTTCGTCGTTTAAGGTGTCTTCTGTAGAGCAAGTTGAGTACCCGGAGCTTTGCTGGTTGCATCTGGGACTTAAGCCACTTTGAACACTGCACACGGATTGTGGGCGCATCTGGTTGTGCCCAATGTGACTCGGCACTATGTTCGAACCCTGGTACGGATCCAAAATCGGTGACTGCACCCCAAAGTTACCATAATCCCTCCGATGCTCCGTCCACTGCGGCCCTAAGGGTCTCAAATCCAAAGGCTGCTGTATCAACTCATTCCTATTAGGATACGGCAAATACCAAGTCCCTTCCGTATCCAACGAGTACCTTTCCGGAGGAGTCTCCGGAGGCGTAGAAGGATCATTAGCCAAAGCCATATTTAGCAAAACAGGCTGGGATAAATTCTGATTCTGATACTGGTGACTCCATGCCCAAGGGCGACCACCATTTTTCTGGTCAGTGACTTCTCTTTTGACATTCTCAGATGGTTCTAAATGATCCAGAACAAATTCGTGCACGTATTCATCAGCTAAAGTATCCTCCGGGTTGTTCTGGCTCCCGGAATCGCGCGGAGAAATCGATCCGGGATCTTGAGAAGGATTTGTTGATGGTTGAGGAAGATCTGCCGAAGCTCCTGACCTTGATTGAGATAGATGATGATCCATTTGGGTTGGTGGTAATGTCTGCATGGTTAATAGACACAGGATTTATAGGCTAACATAAGGGATAAGTAAAATTTGTACCAAATTTTGGGCTAAAATACTTCTTTGTCTATACAAAATTTTTGATCCAAAATGGCAACTAACCAATTTTTTGGTCTAACTTTAAGTCCAATAAATTTCACTTGACACCAATTGCCAAATTTGGATTAACCAATACACTTTTTGTCCAATCACAATCTAGTTGACACCAATTTTTAACACCAGAATTGATAGTTAATTTAAATCTGCAACTCCACTAAAATTTTAAATACAAATTTTTCCTATAAATATTGTCACACACATAACTAATTTTTAACCAACCTTTTATGTATGTTTTGTTACTAATTTTAGTTCAGATTTTAAACTAATTTTAGTTCATTTAACTTCTTAAATAATTTTAGTTTGTCACACAACTATATTTTAAGTGCAACCATTGCATTAGTAAAGATACACCCATTGTTACTAAATTTATTAAACTCTTTAGTTCAGTTAATTAGACATCAAAATAGTTTTTAGTTTCAAAAAATCCAATTATGCATAAACTATTCACTAATAGTTTATTATTTTGGAACTATAAATTATTCACTCATAGTATACAAAATTGTTATAAATAATGCCTAGAACTTGTTACTATTTTTATTTGGTAAAAGCAAACTATGTGGTTTACACTATAAATTATTTACTAATAGTTAACACCTTTTTACTAAAAATAGTTTATGAACCTTTAAAATGTTTATGAATAATTGTCAGAAATTCTAATGAATTTATTTACTACTAGTATAGTAATGATAAACATGATTAGTTTAAACTATGAAATATTAACTAATAGTTTAGGTAATTTATTACACTCACTTGTGTATATAAATATTGTTTATAAACTAGAAACTGTATTTGTTACTATTTTTTATTTTTAAATGCCAATCTGGACCTTTAAACTATAAATTAGTCACAAATAGTTTAAACAACCAATCACATGTAGAATTCATAAACACTTGTAAATAGTTTCTTTTGGTAAATTTAATCACTAAAAACTTGCAACACACTAGTCACTAATAGTTCAATCACAAATAATTTAGTGATATAAGTATTATTTTTTACTATTAGTTAAAACATATATTTATACACTTATTTGTCGACAAAAATTAATGTTAAAAATGTTTTTCATATAAATGTCTGCAAAAAAGGCTCCACAGTAATGTTTATATTATTTAGTGACACTATTAATCACTAAAAATAATTTTATAACAAATTGAACACTAATAGTTTAATCACAAGAGATGAAAATATTATTTTCACTGATTATACACAAATAAGTAAGTTTTAAAGGAGAAGTCTCCACTTTGGATAGTTTTTTGGTAATTTTAATCACTAATAGTTTAAACACACTTAAGATAGTTATATTTACTATTAGTTAAACAATTTTGTCTGCAAATAAAATCTGTCCTACAAAGTTTACAATATTTTGATTACAATTGATTTTTGTTACTTTAATCACTAAAAATAACACAGTTGATCACTAATAGTTTAATCACAAGTGATAATTAGATAGACATATTTATCTTTTAAAGGAGAAGTTTCCTTTTGATGTTTTTTGTAAATTTTAATCTTTTAATATAAATATTATTGTTACTTTTAGTTAGAATAGTGTTTTAGGAATGTCTACAAATAAAGTCTGTCCTGCAAAGTTAATAATATTCAGATGGTTTTTGTTATTTAATCACTAATAAATTAATCACAAGTGATATCACTATTATTCTCACTATAAGTTATAATAGTGTATACACTTTTTTGTCACTTAATGTGTATATTCAATTTATATTTTAAAGGAAAAATCTCCTCTTCAAGTTTAGAGACAATTTAGTGCTAAAAATATTACTTTTACTATAATAGTTTATATTTGTCAACACAAATATTTCTCCAAAGTCTCCACATTAGTGATTAGATAATTTTAATCACTCATAATTTAAGCACAAATAACAATAATATTTCAACTATTAGTGTATACACTATTTTTTAAATCCAAACATATACTTCATAACCAAACACAAATATTTAAAACCAATTTTTGTTTACACGTCTACACCGAGAACTCTTGCACAAATCCACCCTCCAAACCCGGATTTTTTTGCAATTTTTTTTAAAATTTGTTCACAAATCTATCATCTATTTTTAAATCTATCAATCTATGAATTTATCAATCTATCAATCTATTAATCTATCGATCTATCGATCTATCGACATGTTTTCTCCTCAAAATCCGCGAGAGGAATGAAACAGATCTAGTAGTGATATCGTATCTTATGTCCGGATTTTTGATAAAAGCGGGGATAGATCTGTTTCCGGGTGGAGCCACAATTTTGGGGCGTGGTTTTGGGGAAACTCGATTTGTTATTGGTGCCCCCAAGTAATTGAAACAGCCCCCAAGGGGAGCGATTGGTTGGGGAAAAGTATATCGATGTAGAAGTATATACAAATGTAGTTATATGTAGATATATAGATATATATATATATATATATATATATATATATATATATACAATAGTTTTAAAGCCCACATATTTTTTTAAAAATTATTTATCTTTTCTAACTAAAATTTAGTAATAATTTCAAATATTTACATTTCTTGGCCATGCTCTGCTGTGGCTATCATCAAAATCCGCCTGATCAAAATTTGAATACAATTTTAATTTTGGTTTTCAATTTTGTTATAAATATATATATATATATATATATATATATATATATATATGGCGTGGCTTTTACTAAAATTCACCAGAGTACAATTTGAATTTTTTTATTTTTTTTTTCAAATTTTTGTCTGTTGATGTAATTTTTCTACTGAAAGTTGTCGTTTTTAATATCTTTGCAATTTAATAAGAAATTAATTATACTTTTTAGCCTATCAGCCTATATAATTTAAATTTTAATTTAACATTTGGCAAGTTGCTCTCACAGACGTCAATATATGTATAAATTTATATAAATGTTTATAAACTTTCCAATTCTTTTTATTAATTTAAATTTTGAGGTGTAGAAAATAATATTTAAAATGTGAAGAGTATATGTATTATATTAAATATGTGTATATGTATGTATATATTTTAGCTATCCATCCTGCTGGCAAGTTGCACATAAATCACATATTTTAACGTTCAAGTCAAATTTATTTTAAAACAAATTTAATACTTAAATTTAATAACAGAACAGTTTAATTTGTTATCAAAATGGAAGTACGATTTTTTTATTCTGAATTTTAATAGAAACTAGCTGTAAGTGGAATTCTGTCTTAAGGCAATTAGGGCATCGTGCCTTAAGGCAAATTGCTGGAACTTCCCGTACCAAAAATTATTATTTTTTTTTAAAACGATTAACATTTTTGAAAAAAAATTACTTTGAAAAAATAAGATTTTTGAGAAACTATAAATTGGACAAAAAAATATTATTAAATTTATTTTGACATATTGTGGAAGATCTGAACTTTTTTTTTCAAAGCAATCGTACTGCTTTAACTACATAGGGACAAAATATAAAGCGCGTAAGCGCCGCGTCGCTGTCTAACGCATAAGCATTGGTATGGAACCGATAGGAATGTTAACAAAATGTATACTTATTGTTAAAATATCTATAAAATGTCTGATAATTTGATGTGCATATGTCTAATGATCATTTTTGACCGCCAAATGGCTCATTTTTTTACTTTTTCCTCTATATCTCCGAAACCGCTGGACCTACCTTCATGAAAGTTGTATCGATTCTTCATCTTGTCAATACAAATAAAATGTTTTTTGAATTATTAAAATCGGACGCTCCGTTCTCTTAAAAACTGAGTTACCGTTTTCGGAACTTTTTGCCCCGTATCTTTGGAACGGCTTGACCTGCCTTTGCCAAAAACTAATCAGCACGTCTCCTTATCAATACGGATCGAATGTTTTTTGAATTATTCAAATCGGTTGATCCGTGTTCCCGAAATCGTCGACGAAAATTTGTATCCGCACATACATACACACACATACATACATACATACACACACACACACACACATACACACACACACACACTCACACACACATACATCCATTTTTTCTAAGGTATGCCAAAATGTTCAGAAACCTCTGAAACGTAAAGATATATAAAAATTTTCATTTTCGATTTTTTTGCGATTACTATAACTTGCCCTACGGGAAGTTAAAAAATATTTTTTTGAAGAACAAGTCAAGCCTATTAGCAAGTTACTGAAAGATGTAAATAAATTATTCATTTTAGCGTCGTTCAACCGTTTTATTCGTGAAACCTTTTGATCAAATTTATTCAAATACTTCAAATTTTTATTCAAATATTTATGAAAACCAATGATAAATATAAATATATATTCATATATTTTACTGATGGCTAACCTGTTGGCAAGTTCCACATACTCCAAAAATTTAGAAAATAAATTTAAATGTATTTTTAAATTTAATTTATATAAATTTATATGGAAATCTAAAATTTATTAACAAAATACTTATATTTATAAAAATGTAAGCACAGTTTCTCAGTTCAAATTTTAGTAAGAAATTGATATATCATCTAACTATAGATTTTTAATCTATCATCCTATTGGCAAGTTGCTCACAGGCTTTAATATATACTTCATGAGCATCAAAATTTTAATTATACTTTTTATTCATAGAAGTTTTATTTACCAATTCATTACAATTCCCACTACATATTCAAATAATAATAAATAATAATACAGTAATGAAAATATATTTGTGATTAATATATACATTGAATTTTGCCTATCAAACTGTTGGCAAGTTGCTCATAAATGTTTTTAAAAATAATATTTTTAATTTTTGAAATTTATTCAAATAATTTATTTTTACTATTTAAGTATTATTATAAATAAATAAATTGATGCAAAAGTATTATTTTCATACACTTTAGCCTAACAGCCTGTTGGCGTGTATCACAAACTTGAAATATTTTAAAATTTATTTCAAAT